CTGAAATACCCCGCTAACAATGGGCTTTACTGCTCTGTTGGTATAGATTTCCTGCCGCGGGCTCATCACAGTAACCAGACTCCAGCACTCTACGTACTGCACTCGTAGATGTGTACAAGTGTGGAGTGAAAATATTATTAGTAACGTGTATGGGGAGAAGCCTTGAACTGCTAGAGAAGCCAATGGCTAAGAAATACTTCTCCGTTTAGAGAGAAATGGATTGAAGTTCGTTTGTGGTCCCTATGGATTTTATGTCACTGTAGAAATATTAACTTTCAGAAACTGTTTCTATCCTTCGTATTTCGAACTGAGTCTTTATATAGGATACAATGATATTGGGGCCAGGCTAGGTACAGTACCAACAAGCATATTCTGAGTCTCAAAAACACTAATTTCTCCCCATAACCCTGCCAATGTATCCTGGGATAAGAGCTTAACCTACACACAGCATCATTGGTACTGTGAGAGGGTATTTCAACAGATCACCAAAAGTGGGTACAAATCAGACAGTTTTGCACCATTTCAGACTTCAAAGGAAGAGATGACGCCAAGTTACCAGTGAAAGTCATGCTGGGGAGCTGAAAAGGCCTGGCTAGGGCTGTTTCAAAGCATGGCCTTTGCCTCCCTGAGGCACTCCTGAAATGGGACTGTCATTTAAGTGTGTCTGTTGCTTCGGGCTGTTCCATGAAAGCACTTCTTAAGGCCCGTTTCTTAAGGTATACCTGCTTCTTGACTGTGCTTTGGGAGGGATTGGTGGGCTCCCGGTGACACTGGTGGCACGGGCTGGTGGCTGCTGCATGCTGCAAGGGATGTCCCTGCACAGAAAAGGTTTGCTGGAGAAAATTATACCTCTGCTGCCTGGCCAGGTTTTGTGTTCTCACAAAACTCCCCGTGGTTTCTTAGGGAAAAGAATAGAATATTTATCAACAGGTAATACAAAAGAAATCATTCAGCTCTAGCTTGCCCTTGTTTTTTGCCCTCTATGGTTCTTTAAAGGCATTTTAATAACCTCTGAGTTTTAGAGCCTATGAGCTTTATTCCAGCAAAAATTCAGTCAATATGTGGTATTTGGACTAATATCCAGAAGCTCACAGTTCAGTGGCTGCAGAAAATACATTTCTTTCAGGTACCTGCAGAAGAAGTGGTTTTATTAGGGCTGTACCTTAGGTGGCAGAGGTCTTGGCTAATGTGGAAATAAGCACCTAGACTTGGTAGACCATGAGGTGCACTAAAATAGCTTCCCCATCACAAATATTTCACTTTTATGGCAACTAAAAACGTAGCAAACTTCTACCTGATCTGAGCAGTAAGAATCTAAGTAAAAAGGCTTGGCTTCATTTGTAATGAAGGAATGATTTCTGTTTCCACCGGCAATTACTCTGAAGCTATAGCAACACTTTTAAGTGAAAGAATTAAGATAATGAAATTAGTTGAGATTGTTTAGCAGCTGGAAACAATGAATCAGGACTGCCTGACTGGGCAGGGTTTCGCAGACTGCCATTTGTGTATGGCCTACACTTCAAAAGCTGTTGTGCCAAGATGTTTAGAACAAATATATTGTCAGGTTTGATGAGAAAAGATCATTAATACCTAATTTGACTTTGCAGTGTTTCATTTTTTTTTTTCCCACTAAGAGCTACTTTTCTTCTTACTTTTGCCACTTTATCCCCAAAGCCGAAAGGCTCCATTTAAAAGGAAATGTTTTAAAATACGGGATTAAAATTCAAATGTCTAGCAAGGAAGAAAAGGCAGCAATTTGCATACAGCTTTACATATGCATGCGCCTTTCTTATTGCATACACGTCAGATCTTCCTCACACGGTTTAGGTGTAGTTGCTGTATCTGAGGCTGTGGGGTGGATTAAAGGCCACTGCAGCTCGGTTCGTCTGCTGCCTCTGCTTCTCAGTAAGCTGCAACACGAAGCACCGGGATTATTTTTTGGTGGCACCTGCTTATGGAGGGGAGCCCCGAGCACCTTGCTTGATGAAAAGCTGCATAAAATTTGACTCGAGAAGAGGCTCGGTGCGCTAACAATTTCAGAAAATCAATATTTACTCCGGCACTGGTTGTCAGCCCTTTAATAGGATGTGCCGTTCCCTAAGCAGTACCAGCCAGGGAGTGATGAGAGCAGCTCAAATTCTTTGCCTATCGTTCGGGTGATCTGGGGCCTGGCTCTGAAAGCACGCTAAGGCAGCTGCGAGGGCAGCTACCCAGGAGGGCGTGCTTCCTCCTTGCTGACAGCTGGGAGGGTCTCCACTGGCTGCCACTGAGTTTTCCAGGACGCTTTGCTCTTGTCTTGAATTCCTCTGTGCTTTAGGGTTTTTGCTTCTTTTTCCAAGCTGGTGGGTCTGCCCAGTTGTCCGTGGTTCAGCTGTAGATCACGCGCAGACCTAGACTCTGAACCTTCCACGCCATCTGGCATCGCCGAGAAGTAAAATATGAAATATATTAATATTAAATACGAGGAGTATTTTAAACGTGCTTAGAAGCAGGGTAAAGTTTCTGTTACAGCTTGCTAGAATTACAGCAAGGAATGTCTAAATCCTACAGTCTGCAACTCAAACACTTCACCTGGAGTTTACGTACATGGATTTACCTCAGAAATCCCATTTGTTCTGCATTCACTTTACTGGAATTGGTTTAATTCTAATTATGGACCAGAAAAATGGCCTCTTCTCCAGTTTTTAAATGAAAAATTAATGGAAAAAAAATAAAGCAAATGAAGTGTGTGAATCTTAAACAGTTGTAAAAAATAAAGAAGTAAAAAAAGTCTTGAATATCATTAGCTTAACATCCACAGAGTCACAGAGTGGTTGAGGTTGGAGGGGACCTCTGAAGATCACCCAGTCCAACCCCCTTGTCGAGCAGGATCACCTGGAGCATGTTGCACAGGATGGCATCCAGGCGGGGTTTGAGTATCTCCAGAGAAGGAGACCCCACAGCCTCTCTGGGCAACCTGTCCCAGTGCTCTGTCACCCTCACAGTAAAGAAATGTCCTCTAATACTGAGCTGGAACCTCCTGTGCTTCAGTTTGTGCCCGGTGCCTCTCCTCCTGTCACTGGGCACAACTGAAAAGAGACCGGCTCCATCCTCTTGACACCCTCGCCTCAGATATTTATACACGTTGATGAGGTCTCCCCTCAGTCTGATGTTGTACAAACCAAACATGCCCAGCTCTCTCAGCCTGTCCTTGTAGGACAAGTGTTCCAGTCCCCTCATCATCATGGCAGCCCTCCTCTGACTCCCTCCGGTAGCTCCATCTCCCTCCTGTCCCTGGGAGCCCAGAACTGGACACGGCACTCCAGGTGTGCCCTCCCCAGGGCTGAGCAGAGGGGCAGGATCCTTGCCTCCCTCGCCCTGCTGGCAGCACTCCTCCCAATGCACCTCAGGACACCATTGGCCTTCTTGGCCACCAGGACCCCCAGGTTGCCTGGGGTTGTTCCTCCCCAGGTGCAGGACCCTTGTTGAACCTCATGAGGCTCCTCACGACCCCCCAAAAATCCCACAGGCTGGATAAACTTCCCTTATTAAATATAAGCATAGAGAACTCCCTTTATTAGATGTACGTGTAGGGTGTGGTGTGACAAACAGGACTGTGGAGGGGAGTTGGGTGAAAGTCAGGTTTTGAGGTGGCCATGGAGGACTTCAGTTCCTGTCCCCTATACTCACACCGTTGTATATAGGTGTATATATGTGTATGTGTATATATGTGTATATATGTGTGTATATGTGTATGTATGTGCAGAGCTACAGGCTGGGAGATGAGTGGTTGGAGAGCTGCCAGGCAGAGAAGGACCTGGGAGTGATGGTGGACAGTCGGCTGAATATGAGCCAGCAGTGTGCTCAGGTGGCCAAGAAGGCCAACGGCATCCTGGCTTGTATCAGAAACAGCGTGACCAGCAGGGCTAGGGAGGTGATCGTCCCCCTGTACTCGGCTCTGGTGAGGCCGCACCTCGAGTACTGTGTTCAGTTTTGGGCCCCTCGCTACAAGAAGGACATCGAGGTGCTTGAGCGGGTCCAGAGAAGGGCGACGAAGCTGGTGAGGGGCCTGGAGAGCAAGTCCTATGAGGAGCGGCTGAGGGAGCTGGGCTTGTTCAGCCTAGAGAAGAGGAGGCTCAGGGGTGACCTTATTGCTCTGTATAAGTACATTAAAGGAGGCTGTAGCGAGGTGGGGGTTGGCCTGTTCTCCCATGTGCCTGGTGACAGGACGAGGGGGAATGGGCTAAAGTTACGCCAGGGGAGTTTTAGGTTAGATGTTAGGAAGAACTTCTTTACTGAAAGGGTTATGAGGCACTGGAACGGGCTGCCCAGGGAGGTGGTGGAGTCACCATCCCTGGAAGTCTTCAAAAGACGTTTAGATGTAGAGCTTAGGGATATGGTTTAGTGGGTACTGTTAGTGTTAGGTTAGAGGTTGGACTCGATGATCTTGAGGTCTCTTCCAACCTAGAAATTCTGTGATTCTGTGATATGTATATATATGTGTATATATGTGTACGTGTATATGGGTATACACGTGTATATACATATATATATGTGTATATATGTATACGTGTATATATGTGTATTTATGTGTATATATGGGTAAATAAGTGTATTTATGTGTATATATGAGTATATACGTGTATATATGGGTATATATGGGTATATACGTGTATATATGTGTCTATACGTATACGTGTATATATGTCTATCTACGTTTTTAAACGTGTATACATGTGTCCATACGTTTATGTGTATATATGGGTATATATGGGTATATATGGGTATTTATGTGTATATATGGGTATATATGGGTATATACATGTCTATACGTATCCGTGTATATATGTGTCTATATGTGTATATATGACGGGGGGGGGGCGGTTTCCCCACTGCGGGGTAGGGGAGGGGGTGGAGCGAGGCACCCCGCCCGTTACCACAGGGCTCCAGTGGCGCGAAGCCGAGCCCGCCTCCCATTGGCCAGCGCCGAGCCATGGCGCGCCGCGATTGGCCGGCCGGCGGGCGGCTTCTCCTTCCGGGTTCCGCGCCTACGGTTTTCGAGCCCCGGTGCGGGAGCGGCGCGGGGCAGCGACCGACCGACCGGCGCGGGCGTGACGTCACGAGCGGCTGGCGGTGACGCAGTTTTCCCGCGGTTCTGGTGGCGGGAGAGGAGCGCGGCCGGGCGCGCCATGCCGCCCAAGCCCCCCCGCAGGCCGGGCGCCGCCCGCAGCCAGCGCTGCAGTCCCGACGGCGGCTCCGGCAGCGCCCCGCCGCCCCGCAGCCCCCGGTAAGCGGCTGGGTGACGGGCCCGGCTCGGGCTGGGAGCCCCCCGTTAGCCCGGCGGGGCGCAGCTGAGGCTCTGCGCTCTTCTTTTCGCCAGGCTCGGCGTCGGCGAAGCCGGCTTCGTGGCGCTCTGCGATGCCCTGAAGGTGCCGGGCAGCGTCAGGGAGAAGGCGTGGAAGACGTACGAGGGCTTGGCCGCCGCCGAGGGAGCTCCGGTGAGTCCGTGGGGCCGGGCAGCCCCGCTCCACACCGACCCTGAGTCACGGCAGGAGTCCCCGACCCGTGGGCAGCCCCCTCTGCGGGATATTTCAGGCGTCCCAAAGGCAGTTTTGGACGGGCTGTCCCCACCTGTTCCCCTGTGTGCTTTGCCCGCTGTGCCCCTCTTCAGGAGGAGCCGAAAGGGGCTGCAGAAAAACGCGAGGTTTGCTGTCAAACTCTTTATTTTTTCCCTTTCCGTACTTGTAATTGGTATGTGCTTGTGGCTGTGGTGCTCCTATTCAACACTAGTCATTGGCTGTGCAAATAGATTAAAACACTTCTTCCCCCCCCCTCCCCCCTTTCCCCCTTCCCTAATTATTGCTGACTCAGAGCATGGCTATGACACAATTAAATCCCAATCAAAAACTTTGTGATACTGACCTGACTTAGATCTAAAATGCCCAGCTTGGTTATTATCCCCCCCGTCTGGGCTCTAGCATCTGTGTGTGTTTGTTGTGGCCGCCGCTTGTTTTCCTGCAGCGGGAGCCGTGCGCTGCCGATACCTTGCTGCCTGCGGTTTCAGAGCGGCTCTCGGTGCAGTTGTGAGTTTGTTGCTGCAGAGCAGAAGCGGTGTGGGGAAAAGGCCGTGTGTGGCTTTTGCTGTATCAGGTATGTTTTCTGGTTGTGGAGGTCCCCAGGGAGCATTTAGTTCAAAGCAAAGTCAGGCTTCTCGGTATGAACCGAAACAGGAGTAGTCGGTGCTGTCAAGTGAAAAAACCAAGGCAGGTTTCGGTATAATTCTGCGAATTTCACTTTCAAGTGAAATTGGCATTTCACTGATTATCTAGAATTAGCTGGATAAGATAAAGAGCTTTGGAAATGCTCCCTTTCAGCATCAGAGGTTGTGTCCAAAGCAGGGCTATGAAGCTGGTGAAGGGCCTGGAGCACAAGTCCTGTGAGGAGCGGCTGAGGGAGCTGGGGGTGTTTGGGCTGGGGAAGAGGAGGCTCAGGGCAGACCTCATTGCTCTCTGCAGCTGCCTGAAAGGAAGGGGTGGGGAGCTGGGGGTCGGCCTCTGCTCACAGGTAACCAGTGACAGGACCAGAGGGAATGGCCTCAAGTTGTGCCAGGGGAGGCTCAGGTTGGCAATGAGGAGACATTTCTGCTCAGAAAGAGCAGTCAGGCACTGGGACGGGTTGCCCAGGGAGGTGGTGGAGTCACCGTCCCTGGGGGTGTTCAAGGAGAGGTTGGACGTGGCGCTTGGGGACGTGGTTTGGTGGGTGACACTGGTGGTAGGGGGATGGTTGGACCAGGTGATCTTGGAGGGCTTTTCCAACCCTAATGGTTCTGTGATTCTGTGACTCCGTTTCTCTGTTTAGAACAGGTGCGGTTCTGGGTGTTTTCCCCAGAGTTCTTGACATATCAGCAAGGTGTTGAAACAAGGAAACTGGCAGGTGCTGGAGCAGCAGGCTTCATCTGGGACTGAAATCAAGCAAATTAACAGCCTGGTTAATTGTTGCTTCTCTTTTCAAGCCAAGCTGTTATCATGGGGAGTGAGGCTTTGCAGTGTGACTTTCTGCTTTAGGTTGTGAGTGCTTGGGAGGAGGTGGTATTTAAGTGCCCTCCTTTTTGCCCAGTGGTAAGGGGTTCAGTGTTAGAAGCTGTCCCAGTGTTTGTCCCACAAGCATCAGCTGTGCATGTTTTAATTGGTACTAACCTTTCAACCATGAACAGGAGCAGAAGAAGCTGCTTATCGAGCTGCTTTCTGTTCTCAAGCAAAAAGGGAAATAGCAGGACACGAATTGAGACAAATGCCTTCCGGAGGGCTTCTCTTTCACCTTGTAGCTGGTTTGACTTGAGGCAGGTCAAATCATCAGACTGCTGATGGAAACAGCGCTAGCATCTCGTGATCCTGACTCTTAACCTGTTACACAGCATAAAACATCACTTTCACTGGCACATCAGCTTTTTTTTTTTTTTTTTTTTTTAATTGTTGATCTCAGAGTTTTGCCCTCCTCTGAGGGTAGGGAGGGGAACTGCAGTGCTAGTGAGGAGCCTGTGTGGCCCAGACACAAAATGCTGCCTGAAGGACAGAGATTCAGGGCCCGTATGTGGTCTGAACACCTGATACATCCTTAATGTTTAGTAATTTCAAGTAAAAATTATCTATTATTAACTGCCCCTTCTGGGTTACTTAGGGTACACATAACCACGTGTAAAGAGACTCTGCAAACACAGTTTATTATTATTACTGTCACTATTTTGGCAAGCACACCAAAGGTAGCCAGGATGTAAAGACCTATGAGCCCGAGCGTACTTGCACTTCGATAAGGCACTTAATGTGTTTTTTGCTGCACAGGCAGGCATCAGCTGGGAGGAAAAAGGCTGGAATGTGCTGCGCCCTGAAATAACTCCCCCGTGCCATCATCCACCAGCACCACCAGAACTGCTTTTTTTTTTTTTTTTTTTCCCCCTTTAGGATATTACACCTTTCTGTATTGATTTTTTTCCTTTTGAATCTGAGCAACTAACGATCCTATTTCTGTCTGTAACTTTACCTTTTTCATCTTGTGTGGTCCACGCTGTAGCTTTTCATACAGCTCTCGGCTTCCCTGTTTCCTCGTTGGTTTGACTCAAGGTTATGCAGCTGGACCTTGAATCCTTGAAACAGCTGAACCCTGCTGGGGGGTGTGTAGGAGGGGAAAGCACAGCCATGGCTCTCCTGTAACCTGTCTCTCTGGAAAATGAGACCAGCGTGTAGTTTGACATGCTAAATCTGCAGAGAGAAACTGTTCAAAACATTGCAGATGTGATGAGTCTTTCTAAGTGGAGAACGTTAAGGATTTTGTCTGACAACCAGAGTTAAATTGCACTCCTCTATGATAAATTTGTAACTTGAGACCTCTGAGACAAAATCTGTAACACACCGACAGTGCTGCATCTCTGGAACCTGTATGGTATGAAAGAAGTTACCTGATGCATGACCAGAAAGATGTTCTTGCTTTAAATTCTGTTTGCATCTGCTGAACTCCAGTGCAAGTTGACTGCAAACATGGTAGTGCATATATAAATAAGGCTTTTGCATTAATGTCACACAAAGCCTTTTGTTCGTTCTGTCATTAATCTGTTTACCAAACCAAGTTACTTAGGTAAATTAGATGTTTGCTTTAGAGTTGTCTTCACAATCTTCGTTTCAAAACTCCTACACATTGGCAGTTGTTGACTTAGCAAATTGGCTTCCTGTACGGGGACCCTTCTACTCCAGTTGTGTGTAACTCACCTGCAATCTGTGTTACGAATCAGTAGTGCCTGTAAACTCTAGATGGAGTGAATAGATTTAGTGGAACTACTGATATACTTTCAGCAATATGTGGTTTTTGGTGTGAGAAAGCCTAGGAGAGGTCCTGAGAGCCATATTTTTACTGCTAGGAGAAGGTTTGGGGCATTTGTTACATTCTGCTACTGTTCGGGCAGAGAACAACCTGTGAATCTGAAGTAGGTTATCAGGAAAAACGAAGTGAATTATTGCTTCATGTATTGGAAAGAATCAATATGAGGAACAGATGGGCATCTTGACTAAATTGGAACCAAACTTCGGCAAAGAAAATCGGTGGTTTAGGAAGCTGATAGAAACAGGAGTCTGCAAAGGACCTTGAGAAATAGGGTCTGGTGTGTTTCAGCTGCCCAGCTTGCTGCAGGTTGTGATGCCTGGGTAAAAGCTGTGTGTTTTGTTTGCTGTTTATGGAACTGCTTCAGAAACCTGGCCCTCTCATCATCTTTTCTTGTTTCTGGTTCTATATTTATATATTTAGGGTTACTCTAGACAGGCAGAAAAGCTTATCTGGTCGTATGTTCCAAACCTTTTAAATTTCATGTGTGTCTTTTTGGTTTTAGTTTCTCGGGAAAAAGAAAGCACTACAGTTGGTAAACCTCTTATTCCCCATCTTGAAAGACACAGAGAGGTTTCTTACTTAAAGGAAAAGCATGAAATGTACAAGCTAATAAAGTATTTTCTGGCCGGAGCTTTTGTCTCTTAGAGAACTTCAGCAAAACTGAATCTGAATCTGCTGCTTCAGCTGGATAAGCAGTCACAGATCTTGTAATATCCTTTATTCTTAAAATAAGACATAAAAAACTGCTGAGAAGTCCCATAACAAACATAAATCAACGTGGCCTCTAGCTGATGATACTCAGCATCTTAACAGCAGATCCAGTACATGAGCGTGTTTTGCTCTTGCACTTGAAATGCATAATTAGGTGGCATATAATTTTTTTTTACTTGCCTTCTGCTCATTTGGGAGAAGGACTAATTTTGCCTCCAGTCTGGCTATGTGCAAGAGAAATATAGTGGGAAGTTCTCAGATCAGAAGAACAATTTTTGTCAGGTCAATGATTTCCACAGAGTATTACTTTCAGACAGTATGTTTAATTTAATCTGTTAAGAACGAGTAGTCATTGTCCAATCAACACAGTTTTCAATGGAAAAATTAAAAACCATTACTGCTGAAAAAGAGGATTTGTCTTTACACAGAACTTCTTATATGTAGATAGGGGGTGCTTAACACATTTGCAGGCTTATTACCTATAAATTTGTTCCTACAGGTCTTAAATCTGCTAAGTTTCTTATTGTGAATGCTTCTTGATCTTTTTACCTGCCATCTTCTACCTGTAATCATAAGCATACCTGAGAGTCTTTCTCATACCATCTAGGTAGTTTTGTGTATTAAAATGTGGTGCCTGGGATTTTGGTTCCGTGTGTTAATAAAACAAGGCTTTAGTGCAATATCCCATTTAATTAAAGTACCTGTCTCTATTTGTACATGTCTCATCTATGTTTCTCCTGACCTTCTTTTATGCAAGCCTCTATTCCTGGGCCACTGCCGTAGGCAATCATGAAAACTGTTATCAGTGTTGGCAGAATAATAAACATCTCTAACTGTGCAGACGAGAACTGAGGCTTCCTGTTACCATCTCCTCCTCTCATCTGTTGCAGCAGCACTGGAGACCATCAGAGAAAGCAGAGAGGCAGTGATCCCATTGCACAGTAATTCAGCTTGAGCATTTTAAGCCAATCTTTCAGATTATTTTTGCTAAATTTAGGCAAACTGGTGATTTGCAAAAAAAAAAAAAAAAAATAACAGTAACTGTAGAATAAGAAATATTGGAAGACTTCTTGTAAAGCTTTAGATTTTTTTTCTATAGAAAACTAGATTGATTTAATGCAACTGACCTATATTGCCTGAATATTACAGCATTGATTTCCCCAGAATACTTAAAAGCAAACAATTCCTATATGAACTGTTGGCTGCTAAATAATCTTCGAGTTAAGGATTAATAGGTTTTGATTTATGGTGAGTTGAAATGAGGTTACTAGAAGTTACCTTATTTGAACCGACTGGCACTCGAGAGCAAACATTGAGTCATTGTCCTGCCCGTTTTCTGGAGCCGTGCTGTATCAACAAAGAGCTTAAGTCAGACTGGTCAATAAGAAAACCCTCAGAAATGAATTTCTGGCTGTGAATTTGTCTTTTATATGTTCCTATGCCTTCAAGTAAGTCTATCTGGGATGAATTGTCTGGCTTTAACTGTAAACAAACCATTTATCTGTGTCATGGGAATGGCTCCTCTGAAGGTAGGCTATTGGTAAAGTATTTGAACTGAGCAGTGCTGCTGCAGTTTGCTCTGTGGTTTTATTTCGTTTGTATAGGAAATCACTTGAAAAACACTTGTGTGCTTTGGGAGGGAAGGAATATGGAAAGGAGATCGCTCAGCGGTCGGGTGTAATGGGAATACCTCCTCTTACCCTGTCTTCCCCTCTTCTGCTCCTTTGATGTGTATATGTAGCTTCTTGTAGTCTGGCTTCTTTTCCTTTTCTCCATCACTCGGATGATGTTAAAGAGGTCGACATGCTCAGGTACTGCTCACCTTCCTTTGCTAGTAGAAAAACGCTCATAATCTATTAGTTTATTCTGGGTTCCGTGGAGTTTTTGTGCAACATCTTCTGTCTGGTTGAGGAGATGATGTCCAAAACAATCTAACATCCCCAGTGGATATGGGGATAGTCCAGATAACTAGAATTCGACTCGCTGAAGTAGTTTTAATCTAGTGCATTGAAAAGCTGCCATCTTGTTTAATGGGAGAAAAAAATGAGTTCTCATCAAAGCAGTATGGTTTGGGGTGAGTTTAAAGATTGTTCTTGCACAACCAGACCTTGCTCTTACTAACTAAACCACTGCTGTAGCCTTCAAGCTTTCATCTTCCCTGCATAGAGCTAAGCCTTCTAAAAGAGCTATGCTTGTTTTTGTAGGCAACAAATTAGGAAAAAGGGCACTGCTTCCTAATATTCAGTCCTCCTGACCTACAAGACATTGTATTTATAGAGCTTTATATATTTTTAATATTTATATATTCCAAAATAATTACCTGTTGTACAAGGTGTCACAACTCATAGAAAAGCTCAAATAGGAATGTAGGAAGAAAGTAACTTAAATAACTGACAATTAACACCTTGTTGAAGGGGTCTGGTCAGTTAGCATTCAGATCTAAACTACCTTGAGCACTCTGCAGTTTTGGGCATCGCAGTATAAGAAGGACATAACTCTGTTAGAGAGTGTCTGAGGGAGGGCTACAAAAATGGTGAAGGGTCTAGAGGGCAAGGTGCATGAGGAGAGGCTGAGGTCCCTGGGTTTGCTCAGCCCCGAGCAGAGCAGGCTGAGGGGAGGCCTCATGGCGGCCTGCAGCTCCCTCACGAGGGGATAGTTCAAGTGATAAAGAAGAAGGCCAGAGGTGGTTTCCTCACTTCCAGACTGAGTTTTGTGAACTGACTTGTGTTGGGACTGTTTGGGGTTAGCCCCCTTTAGGAGAAACCAGCTGGGCAGCCATGTTAGAGCCTTGCTTGGGTTTTCCTCTGGGTGCCATACGGTGCTCTTGTCACCTCAGTGTGCGACCACTGAGTGAGGGAGAGGTCTGTTAAAAGTGGCTGAGGGGACGAGAGCTGCTTTGCAGTCTGCTAGAAGAAACCAGGGGTAGGTGCTACCTCCAGTGAGGATGTGGAGGGACATCAAGGGTACAGAGCCTTTTGGGGTAGTTCTGGAAGACCATGTAGGATGGAGGGAGCCAGGTCTGGTGCGATCCTATCCTTGCTGCCTTTTTGAAAGTATTTGTTGGATTGAATTGGTCCCAGTGGTTCCCAGAGGTCTGGGAGACAGCTAGCTGGAGAGATGGGGAAGAAAAAAGAAGGAAAAATAATAGGGAAGGGAGTGGGCTAAAAACTAAGCAGTGCAGAAGAGCATGAACTTGGTATTTCACCTCCCTCCTGGCTCTGCTTTAAGGTTAAAGGTGGTTGTTACTACCATGACTTGCTAGAGATGTGTTTGTGGTCCGGCTGTACTATTGAGACCTAGCTGTAGGATAAAGCTCCTGAGTATTTATTTCCCTGTCTAATTATTTTGCTTCTCATGGCTGCCTGTCTAGGAAGGAACAAGTCCTTCTCTCCTTATTCCTTAACCTCCTGTGTCTTCTTATGGTAAAATGTAGTTTGTGTCCATAATAATGCAAGTACAACTGAATGATGAGGTGTGGGTAGGGAAAGGGATGTTAGCTCCACTCAGGTAATCCTGAATAGGAAATAGTTCCTGTTTTCAAATTGTAATTTTAATGTACATTAAAAATAAAGTTTCTGCTTTATATAAACTTTCAGTGGAACCACAGCCTTTATTTTGAAGCTTAGCTGAATTACAGATACAGGTAAAATTCATTTTGTACTGTGCAGTAGGAATTGGAGTACTTGGCCTGTCATCTGCAATATAAAACTTTTACTGCTTTTCACTTACCAAATAACTGGCTATCATACACAAATGTCTGCTTGATGGTCTCTTGTTTTACTTTTTCTAGCCTACTGCGAAGAAATTAATGTTCTCTATATAGCACCCACTTGTATTACATAATATGCATAAAACCCATTCTCTCTTTTTCTGAAAGGCTTATGACAAAAAGAAAAAGGAAACGTGGGGAGTCTGTATCTTTATTGTAGCAATTGATCTGGATGAAGTGACGTTCACTTTCACAGAGCTTCTGAAAAGTATAAGCATAAGGTAAGTTTTTTGTGAAGTTAGATTTCACTCAGTAGGAATCTTTATATATCAGGCTTGTTGATTTAAAAATGAAGGTTACTTATGGCAGTTATTGTGTATCTCAATAAACTAGGAGTCTTGCTATCTTGTTTTAGTTAAGGGAACAAAGGCATTTGTTTGCTGCAACTGAGGTCGGCATATGATTGTATCACAATTTTGACTCTTGCCCTTGATAAATTGAAGTTTTAATTAATTTAACTTGGAATCAATCATGCTTGATATTTTCCTTTCTTTCTCTATATCAAAATTTTCTGTAAAACCTTTCCATTAATGTTAGGCTCATGCTAAGTCAAAAGGTGGAAAAAAGTGTTCAAATCGTTTGCCAGTATGCTGCTGACTTTCAAATGCTTTAATGCCGTTTTAAACTTTTTACCTTTCTACCTGCTTTTGACTGGAAAATGTTACCATTATATTTTTACATTCACTAAGCTCATATTAGAGAAATAAGGATTGCAGTATATCTGTTCTTAAGGTAAATTTAAGTGGCAACAGCAGTAGGTGTACCCTTGTGTTAGGTCTATTGAAGGAGCAGGATTCCAGTGTTCTCTGCCTGATAACCCTGCATGTGTGGGTGAGCAGAGCCTTCTGAGGTTCCCAGGCACTGCCTCATCCCCTGGCGTTTTTCAGCAGCTTAGTAGTGCATTGTTGTGGTCTTGTCATGGCTGAAGCATCACCAAAAGTGAGTGGGAGATGGGCATTTGGTAAGATTTCATACCAGTTATAATTGCATCCCATTCTTGTCTTTGTGATAGCCAAGGGAGTGAATATACAAGGTTTTTTCATATGATCTTACAGAACAGTGATCAGGTCCGATGTTTCAACTTAATCTGTTCAGTTTTGACTGACTTGAAGCTACTCGGATGAAATCTAATCACATTTGTGCAGTGCTGTTCCGTATCTTCTACCCAAGTACAGAACGCGTTCACCTGACTAACTCACACTGCAAACTTTTTCCCTTTGGGCTTCAAAGAATAAGCTATTACTCAATTTGCTTTTAGCAATATTCAATTGCTTCCAAGTTCTGGGCTTTTCAGCAGCTATAAGGTCAATCTGGCAGAGATTTCTACCACTTGTCTTGCCCTCTCGAGCCACACAAATATATTTGAAAGGTATTTTTCCTTCATTACATGGTAAAACAATTCCTAAATGAACTTCTGTTTTTATTATGAACCAAACAGAACTCTCAAAATACTATCTTTTGATAAAGAATCAAAATGTTTGATAGCTTCCTCCACCTTAATTTTTTGCCATTTCTTGGTTTAAAAATCATCAAACAAAACCCACACGTACTTGATGGCCATAGTATTACATGGATGACTTTGGTCCCCTGGACAATACTATTTCCAAAGGGTAGGGCTGCCCTTGCTGCCAAATGCTTGCTGGAGGACCTGAAGTTCCATATAATTCAGTGTATTCATCTCCGTTTTAATTTCTAGGTCTTTCTTCAGGAAGAATGGAGCCATGGTGTTAATGTTCTTAGAGTAGTAAGATTTTTAAAGTAGAACATTAAGGTAGAACAGTCCAGATGTGTTGGGTATTTGTGGTGTTACTGGCAGAGTGAGGAAGAAAGATGTATCTAGTTAGCAACTTTGGACTACCAAATATATCTGTACTAGCCAAGAAGATTCTTTCTATAGCAGAGCCTGTGTCAGTAGAGACCTGTGGTGCTTAGTTGAAAAGTATTTCTAAATCTAGAAAGTGTCGGGTGGTATATGGAGCTCCAGGTAAACCAATAGTCTTTCCCAAAGCAAGGCTTTCAGTCACTGCTAGTTTTAGTAAGAATGTGTTGAAGTCTAGTGAAGCAAGGCAATGATTTTTAGTGTGTTTTTTTTTAAGAGCTATTTCAGAATAGTCCTTCTCAGAGTTATAATAATCTGTCCTCTTTTTTTTCCAGCGTGTGCACATTTTTTCAGTTTCTCAAAGAAGTGGATGTTAACATGGATACTGTAAGCACTAAAGTTGATAGCACTGTATCAAGGCTGAAAAAGAAATATGATGTCTTACTTGCACTATATCACAAGTTTGAAAGGTAGTGTACGTTTTCCACTTTGAAATAATCAATTCTTTACGGCAGTCAACATTTAGGTATTTGTATTTTTTCAATTTGTGTATTAGAAGTGCTCGTTTAAACTCTGTGCTAATATTTACAGATTAGTTAAATGGAGCTGTTTACATGCATTGAATAAACATCTTATATTCTACTCCATAACTATTCCAGTGCTCTGTTGAACGTTCCCATTGTTGCAGTATAAACAACAGTAAGAATAGCATGACAAATGATTGCTAGTCCCTTTGTTAAGACTTTTACAAATGTAAGGCAGATTGTTTTATGATCTAATAATTTTTATTTAATGGAGTTTCCATTTTCATACCACCCTACCCCTGATTCCTGATCCAAGAGTTGCTTTCTGAGGAGCTCTGGAAAGAAAAAGCACAAATAAGATAATTTCTGTGTCCCAGATCTGGAACTTAAAGTTGTTCCAGAGTCTAAGGGCGTTGCAGAGACTGCTGTAACAGCAGTTCTCATCTGTGATCAAGATAAACCTTCCCAAGTGGTTTAGCTGACCATACACTCAAAATCAAGGAAAGCTCTCATCTTCGTATGTGATAAAGTAGAATTTGGTTATGGCAGCATGCAGAGAGCTTCGGGCGTGTCACTTAAAACTCAGGAGATTCTCAAGTGGATGCTTTTTTTTTTTTTTTTTGGTCCAGTTATTCCAAGTTGGTAAGTTGCCACTCTGCTTTAACCTGAAGACAGATCGTGGGATCAAGACACAAATGTGATTTAATTTTTTTTTCTTTTCAAAGTCTGTTAACATTAGCTTGAGTAATGTATATATTGTAATATTTTTATGAGGTTTATAGTTGCCTTAAAGCTATGGAGTTCTGTGTGGGTTGCTAATATTTAGGTTTTTACTTTCTGCAAGTCTTTCCTGAGCTGTAAAATCATCATTGCATATTTACACAGGCACATCTTGTTTTTGTGTCCCTCCCCTACTTTGTTCTTCGCTTATTTTTTCAAGACTTTTTGTCCAGTGTATCACTGAGGAAAGGGATTAAGAGGCAAATTGGGCACACATATTAAAATATAGCCAAATGTATATATGCAGAATTTAAACTTAAGTTTAAAAACCTTTGTTTTTAAAAAATACCTTTTTTTTTCCTGTTTTTACACTGCTACAGTTGAATTGCAATAACTTTTTTTCAGCCAGAAGGATTTGCAATTTCTTTTTTTTTTTTCTTGTTTTGTTTTTCTATAAACCAAATTTTTCTTGATGACATGTATCTGAAGTAATTGGGAACAAACATCTTGTATTACAAGGTTTGCAATGACACTTCAGAAGTAAAGGTTTAAAAATATCTCTTATGGAGTGGTCTGTACAGCTGTGGCACCTGCTTTGTTGTGTTTACAAGGTACTGAGTAACAATATACATAAAAATGTTTTTCTGGAAAGAAATAGTAACAAATTTTTTGTTCCAAATTAAAATTGTTTGCTATTTAAACTTTAACATAAGCATGTCAGAAATAGTGTTATTTTAGCTCTGGCAGGGCTTGAGTTGGTCTGGTAATATTCTTTCCGAGAGTCAGAATTATGAAAAATTACAATAATGTTAAGAGAACTAGCATATTTTCTACTATCTTGTAGTCAAAGATATTGCATAGTTTCAGGGAGATGTTAAAAATATGTATTTTTATTTTCTAGGACTTGTGGCCTTATTTATCTGGAACAACCCAGTAGTGAGTAAGTTTGACTTTCCAAATTGTGTTTGTCAAAATAAGATGTTTGTGTTTTCTTTTAACCTGCTAAGATTGACCTAAGTTCATAGTATGTCATGTGTTTAATTTAGATTTAGTGGGGGCTTTGAATTTCAGTGAGAGATGATGAAAGCTGCAGAAGTGATATATGTGTAAATTTTGATCACTTCCTCCATGAAGGATCTCCACCCAATGGCGGGTGTCTCGGCCTGGTGGAAACGAACATTTGGAGAGTGAGCTTCCTAATCATAGCAACAAATGAATGGATGAAAAGATGCCTTAGCAACTCCCAAATGAGATTGAGTTCATGCTGTGACTGGAGAATAGGGCATTAGTCAAAGGCACAAGAGAGAAAACAGCTCGTAACAGTTAAGTGAATTATCCATATTCACTTTCTTTTCCAAGGATGGTACAGATGTTTCCTGATTCTTGAATGGCTTTGCAGAAGACTTATTTTTTGTGTGTAGTATTAATTACATAGGGAATGAAATAATTAATAAGCTTAAATATATGGGAAATGTTGCATGCTGTTTATATTGTTCCATAGACTGAAGCATGTTTTCAGAAATCAGAGTTTTACAGAAGTGTTAATGTGGAGTCTTTACTTTTGTGTCTATTTGCAGGATTTCTGCTGAACTCAGTTCTGTATTAGTCCTAAAAAATTACTGGATTACTTTTTTGCTGGCAAAAGGTGAGTTTTGATCAACAATATGCATCAGAATAACTGTTAAAGTGAGTTTATGGGTTTGTTTTTACACCTCCAATATGAGAACAGCATCCTTTTTACAAATAGCTGTAGCACAGTTCCAGAGTGTTCTGACTGCATGGCTTTGTAACTAATTGCTCAGTAACATTTCTTTCTATGCAGTTGGACTATTTTAGCTGGTATTGCTTCCAGTTTATAAATAATATTTTTGTAAAGCTTTTAAAGAGATTTTTTTTACTTTGAAGGTCTATGTTTGAATCCATTCTGAGATGCTTTATTATCATCTGCCAGTATCTTAGTAATGGCTGACTACTTGAAAAGACTGGCAGATCTTTTTAGACTAAACTAAGTCCCTTAAATTATGTCCTTTGAATGCTACAGTTCTTCCTAGAAAAGGCTGAAATCCCAGTTAAAGCTGAGTAACCAAACAATTATGGTAGTACAAGAAGTCCTGTCTCATTGTACTGCTCCTACGAAAAGGAATGCGTCGTGTGTCTTAGCAGCTGCCTCCTCCGGATCTGTTTTTCAGCAAAGTGTACATATCTCTGCTATTGGAATTGGTTAGAATATAAATATAAAATCTGTGCATGTAAATAGCACACATAGTGTCTGTAGCTGTTCTGAATTGCTATCGGCTCTCCAAACACTTTGTGGAGACACTTGAAGTCTTGGAATGGCTCCGTAGATTTCTTCTGGCATGTGAATCAGAAGTTGGGAACAGCTGGGATAATGTAGTTTTTAAAGTGCTCTTCATGCTAATATTTTCTAACTTGCAAGTCACTCGGTGTACAATGGGCAGGCCAGGCATATGGTAAGAATGTTTTGAATTTCTCTTCACTATGTATTGGGAATTCTTTATGCTTTTTGAATGCTTAGCGGCTTTTGCAAAGTTTTATTGAGACCACAAAAAAAGTGAGGAATTGTGCAGAAATGAGTAGTACGTGTAGGTAAAATAGTCTACACAATTACTCCACTGTGGTAAAAATAAATTTGTACATGAATTATAAGTATTTTTATGCATGGTTTCTCCAGAACAACAAACCTCTTAAGAACCACGAGTTTTAAAGAACACGGCCATCCTGTGCAATGCTTTCACTACTAAATGTAGTGTATTTTATTTAATAAACTTCAACATCTTTATTTTTCCAAAAATGACTCTTTACATTTGTCTTCACCTTTTTAAATGTTTGCAGGTAAAGTGTTGCAAATGGAAGATGACCTGGTGATTTCTTTCCAGTTGTTGCTGTGTGTCTTAGATTATTTTATCAAACTGTCACCTCCTGCTATGCTCAAGGAACCATACAGTAAGGATTTCATGTTTTTGTTAACTAAGTAGAAAGTAAAATTGTTAAATTTCCACTAGTCTTTATAACATTCACAATTAATATAATGAAACTTCTTAACCTTATTAAAATGGATTTTTTAATATTTTAGTCCAATTTAGATGCTAATGAACTTGAATTAAATTATTTGAATGTAGCAGTGTATTTAGTATTTTGATTTTTTTCTATTCTTGCTGTCCATTTGCTGTGCCCTCTGCCCATTCCAGTTGTTTAGAAGCCTGCAAGAGTAGTAGTCTTGGTTTGGTAAAATAATTCTGGGTAGATGATGATTGAGTAGTATTATCTAGGTTTGCTTTGAATTGCAAAAGGAGAAGATGGTGCTATGACTCTCAGTTCACTGATTTATAGCAGTATGATGACAACTGAAGTGTGGAAGATACAGGACTACACAAACACTAAAAAGTTGGTGGATAAAATGATTGCAGTAGTAAAATCAGCTCAAAATAAAATGGGAGAGGAAAAATGTAGATATTTTTATTTCATCTGTTCTATATTAGCAAGTGGTTCTTCCTTACTTTAAGCAAAAAATATAATGGTCTTACCAACAAACTTGTGTTCAGCAAACATTTTTTGTAAACTAAATTTTTATATGTAAAGCCTGGGAAACCACTCAAAAGTCAGAGAAAGGAAGCATGTACTTGTAACTTTGAAAGACAGAAATCTGTTTTTCCTTGAGTATTTTTCTTCCACAAGCTGTGGAATTGCTACAGTAAAGTATTTGGAGCTGCAGTACATAGAAAATAGTTTTTGGTACTACACAGGTGTATCCTGCATTGGATTTGGATGAAATAGTGGACTTCCTAGCCTGAACCTACTTGTGCTTCTGTTGTTTTACAACTAAATATCCATAGTGAAACTATGAGGACTCCTTATTAAGAGACAGGATGTGTGTGTTCTATCTTATAAAGAAACATTGCCACTTTTGTCTAAATTGCAAATATGGGTATCAACTATCATAAGTGTAAAGCACTATTCTGACTTGGGCTGTGTGATAGGTAAAGGTACTTTTCAAGCTGTCACTTGGTGCTTCATTCTTCTATCAAATAACACAACACACTATTCAAGTCCATGTGACCAAGAGGCTTCACATTGTGCTTAAACAATGTCATCAGAGAATATCCTGAGACAGAAGGGACCCACAAGGATCATCAAGTCCAACTCCTGGGTCTGCACAGGACTGCCCAAAAATCAGACCATTCATCTGAGCTTTACGATATTGGCTAGGAGTTGAGGGGATTGATGCAGCCACCAGTGCAGTGTCATTTATTGCATTTTCTCATAGAACAGTTATCAAATGCGAATGGAGGTACAAATAAGAACATCATACTGATTGGAGCATCAGTTTTAAAACATTTAACTGTATTAACACGTCCTTAATATAATTCAGATATTTCAAGCTGACACTATTGAGGCTGTCTGCTTTGAGCTTAACAAAGCAAGTTGCTTTAACCTCATTTTAGTTTGAGTTTCTGATACCTGTGAGGTGAACTTGTTTTTTCATGATTGTTTGACTGGGATATTTGGGGAAAGGAAGAATTCTCTGTAGAACCATACTCCAGGTTCCCACGAGCACGTACATCCTATGTGACTTCATTAACCTTCAGAAGTGTCAAGTCACTCTTTCAGCTCATCATTTCACACTTCTATAAAAATAGAAAAAATAGTACTCATCTTTAAAAGGCAAGGCTCTCCTAGCTTTACTACTTATTCTATGCTGCTTACCAAAAGTGCTATTAAATTTTGCGTTGAATAGTGTTTTACAAACAATGTATAAATACTGATACAGGATTTTAGATTGGTTTTCTTTTTCTATAGATTTTTCATAATGAAAGTTTCTTACCCAGCTGAACAGATGAAAAGGGAAGATAATTAAGTGCCTGAAAAGTCATATAAATAATTAAATCTCTGAAGTCTTTTTTTTCTTAAGGTGACTCTAACTTTGTGATGGTTCTGCCTGTCTTTCCAGAGTCTGCTGTGACAGCAGTGACTGTGAATGGTTCAACTCGAACTCCAAGAAGAGGTCAGAACAGGAGTACACGCACTTCAAAACAAGTTGATACTGACACAAAAGTTATTGAAATCCTTTGTAAAGAGCACGATTGTAATTTAGATGAGGTAAGGTCTGTTTTAATGTATGTTAGATCTTCTGCTAAACCCCATCTGGAATGTATGTTTGCTTAAACAGTCCTGTAAAATCCCTATAATTCTGCTTATTTGATTCTCTTAAGTTCAGTAGCGAGGGTACTATACTGTTCTGCAGTTTCTCTTGTAGGTAGTTTAAAAAAAAAAAATAATCCCATGGTATTTGTGATAACTTTACTGGGGATATTTAACTGTGAAGAATACAGTTGCTTGCTGAAGCAAGTTTCATGCTACGTGCTGCGATCAGCACGTGGTTGCAGGGCTACTCTGATGGGCTGGGGTTCAAAGCTGTATCCCACAGTGAAAAAATGCACACAACTAATGCACTGTTCTTTGTGGGATTGTAAAAGCCCACTTCCCCTTTATTTCTCCTGATAAATCTATTCCTGTGTAAAAAGGACCTTTTTTTTTTTTTTTTGAATATCCAAGCAGATGATTAAACAGAAGAGGGTTGGGAGGAGTGTTATTTTTTACTAGTTTAGTCATGTAATATGCCAGCTGTGGATTATATGCTGCATGCTTACAGGTAACTAAGCTTTGGATATGTAGGTAACTTTATTTTTGCTTTATTGAAAACAAAACACAGTGAGTTATTTAAAAAAAAAAACAAAAACACAACACTACAGTGCATTATAACATAGTCTCATTTAGTTTCTTGATTTAAAGATCCGAAAGCAGTCTATGCGTGGCTGCCTGTATACATCACTAATTATGCTTTTCCTTTTTTTTTTTAGGTCAAAAATGTGTATTTCACAAGCTTTATTCCTTTCTTGAATTCCATGGGTATTGTAGCTTCAAATGGACTGCCAGAGGTAATTGGAATAACTTAAGATCAACAGCAGTGCTTTACTTCATGCCAGATTACTTAAGATTCTCTTTACGCATAGATCAGGTTCTGATAGGCTGTTGTGAAATAATCTAGCTAAATGCAGTATGTTTCAGGAATATGGCTTAGCAGGAATCCAGGATTTACTGGATGTCTGTAGCATTTACATTTGAATCTAATAAATGACTTTCCTGAGGTTGAGCTAGTGGTTTCACTCAAAGCAAAACATGACGGAGTTGAATATCCATAATCTTCGTAAAGCCATTAATTTAAGTTACAATTTAGAATATCAAGACTCTAAAGTCAATCTGTGGTTGCATACAATCTTCAGTTACATCCCTTAATATAATTGGGACACGTATTTAGTCATGTATGAGAAATTTCCACAAGGTCAGGCTTAGTCTCACAAGTGGCAGAGTTTGCGCTGCTGTGTCCTTGTAGAATTACTTTCATCTTCCTTCATTGTAGCCTGGATGCAGCAGAGTCCCTCTGCAGAATTGCATGCAAGAGAACTTCTTTCAAAGAAGTTCCATCCATCATTCTTCAGAGACTAGGTTTAGCTGTGTGTCTCTGTTAGAGCACTGTGAAAACGAGCAGTTTGTCAGACTGAATGTCTGCAGGTATGCCAAGTATATGTTCTGTTCAATTTCATAAGTATCTTGGGTGGGGAATAAAATACAAGACCCATTAAATCTCTTAATCCCTTTCAGTTTGAATTTCAGGGTCAGTGCAACGTGTTCTGTATCAGCAATCTCTCTAGATTTTAAGTTTGGGGGTGTACAGTTTAGAAACCCTGTATGAACTTGGAGGCAATGGTCATTATAAAGCTTATTCTCAAATTAACGAGGGTCCTCAACCAACTGCATGATTTAAGCATAGTATCAGAGCAATAGTCTAATACTGCTGAAGAAAAACCTATAAAATATTTGAAGAGAAGACCTATCACATGAGTCTTTCTACTGAAACCTGCATGAGTTGTGTGGTAAAAACAGTAATAATTTACAGGTATATTTCAGAAGTAGTTAATCCTTATATAAATGAACTAACTGTCAATTATAATGAAGTTCATTTATACAATTGCTAATGATATGGGACACCTGAATTGTCTCTCATTTCCATTAAAACAAAATAAACAACAAAAACACCAACACAAACACAAAACAATGCTGAGCTTTCAATGGACTTTAATGTTGTTTCCAAAACAAGCAAAACTTCTGAGACTTACTGTTGCTGTTTCATTTGTCTTCACTTGCATGCTTGATGGTCAAGCTTTATGAACTAATGAACAGACTGATTCAGAACTTTTATTTTTGGCTGAAGATTTCTTCCCAAATAGCACAGTGCAGCCATTTGGTCTAGGAGCTGCTTTTTTTGAAAGAACCTGAAGCTTAGAAATGTTAATAGAATACTGAAATACTTCAGACAAAAGAATGTGTAAACTGTTAGGAAGGTAATGAAAAATGAAAACATAATGAGCTTGTTAACAAAACATTAAAGGAATGATTGAAGTCTAAAGATAATCTGTGGATTTAATAGTCCTAATCTCAAAGTTCTAACCATAAAATCAGTTTGGTGCAAATTTGGCAAAGATAAAAGAGGATGAAGAGCAAAGCTGTGTAAGAGATGCGTTCGGCTTTTGCTTGAGACAGGTACGGGGTTAGTTTGTTCTTGTATTCACTGCTGCCTGGTTTTTTTCTTGTTGGAATGTGCTGGAGCACAGCATTATTTAGCATGATTGAGGGCTCAGGGAAGAGATAATTGAGGTGACTGGCTGTTGCCAGTCTTTTCCTGAAGAAAAGTTTTTGAGTTCCAGTTAGTGTTAGTCACTCAAACTCCCGAACTTTTCATGCAAAATGAAGTTGTATCACTGTGGGATCTAATCAACCAAGAAACTTTTAAAAGAAGTAATTTTAAAAAAAAGAACGTGGGCTATGTAATAATGGTTTGTTTTTGTAGAACTAGGCATGTCTCTTAAAAACTACTTCAACACAAACATTAATGAATAATAAAACTTAGAACAAAGTTTAAGCTTTGCATCTTTAAGCTTCCATCTCCAAACAAGCAGAGATAGGGACCTTGTGGATTGTCCAGTAGCTGTTTGAAAGGCACACGTTTTGTTTCTTGCCCATAAAAACACATTTTTCTATTTTTTTCTGGAAAGAAAGATTTAAAAGCCTGGAAACACTAGTTTGATTTGCAGGTCTACATCTTTCACTCCACTATTTTTAGCTCTTTCACAGTATCAAGACCTATATTTCTTCAGAAGTGTCTCATGATCTTCAATTGTTTTCCCTTTATAAAGGATTATCTTTGTTTGCACATGGGAACAGTAAATTTCCTCTGGGTATGTTTCAGCTGTTTGTATAAGAAGTGACTTTATGAGTTCCAAGGTCATTTTCTTAGAGTTTTTCAGCATTGTATTCGGTTGTATTCATGAGGTAGTGCTAGCCTATGTTATTGAGCAAATTGTCAATTTTGTAGCTGTAAAATAAAACTTTTCAATGTTTTTTTTCGAGGTTGAGGTTCTCTCAAAAGAGTACAATGAGCTGTATCTCAAAAACAAAGACATAGATGCAAGATTGTTTCTGGATCATGATGAAACCCTTCAGCCTGATGTCATAGCGTGGTAATGTTTCCTCTTACTGCTGTTGTACTACAATAGAAAACGTGAGCTTGTTCCCCCACCCCGCCTTGCCCTCTGTTTTAAGTGGAGATCTCTGTATCCTGTTGATCTCTTTGGCTTGTCGTTCAGCTAAGATATTTCTGGTGTCACCAACCTTGCCTTATATTGCAGCGTAAGTAATCATAAAACACATTGCTACATACCTAGATAAAATGATATGGACTTTGTAACCCAATTCTTACTCTGTGCAAGTCCCTGTAGTCCAGTGGCAGCTGAGGAATTGCAAAGAGGAGGTTGCATGCTGGTTTATTACATGTGCCTGAGAATGTGTTATGGCTCTGGGGCCAGCTGGGTCCTTGCAGTCAAACTTCTTCCTCAAACCAGCTGGTGGTATGAATAAGCTGCCTGCTGGGAGTGCTCCTGAGCCCATTCTGACCTCTGGCCTGTACCCAGAAATTATCAGGGTGTCGTGGTTCTGCTCGAGTGAGCAGCCGAGCTCCACCACAGCTGCTCTCACTCTCCCTCCTCAAAGAGGAATGGGGAGAAAATATGTGAAAAGGGCTCAAGGGTTGAGATAAGGACAAGAAAATCACACAATAATTATTGTAACGGGCAAAACAGACTCAGCATAAGAAGATAGTAAGATTTATTGCTCATTACTAACAAGATAGAGAAGTGAGAAACAAAGCAAAGAAACCAAACCCCCCCCCCCCCCCCCCCCCCCCTTCCACCCTCTTCCACCTCCTCCCCCCAAGCAGCACGGGGGAATGGGGGTTATGGTCAGTCTACAGCACTTCTCTGCCACTACTTCTCGGTCACTCTCATCCCCTGTGCTGTGGGGTCCCACCCACGGGATGCAGTCCTTGACGAACTGATCCGGCGTGGGCTTCCCACAGGCAGCAGCTCTTGCAGAACTGCTCCAGATATGGGTTCATACCACGGGGTCCATCCCTCAGGAGAAAACTGCTCCAACCTGGCTCCCCCACGGGCAGCAGCTCCTGCCAGGTCACCTGCTCCTGCGTGGGCTCCTCTCCACAGGCTACAGGTCCGGCCCAGAATCTGCTCCGGCAGGGGTCTTCCACAGGCGGCAGCCTCCGTTGGTGCAGGGCCACCTGCTCCACTGTGGTCTCCTCCACGGGCTGCAGCGTGGAACCCTGCTCCACCGTGGTACTCCATGGGCTGCAGGGGGACATCCTGCTTCACCATGGTCCTCACCACAGGCCGCAGGGGACTTCTGCTCCGGCGCCTGGAGCACCTCTCCCCCTCCTTCTACACTGACCTTGGTGCCGTTCCTCGCTCCCTTCACTCTCCCAGCTGCTGTGTGACGCAGCGTTTTTTTTCCCTGTCCTAAATATGCTCTCACAGAGGTGCAAAACAACATCGCTTATTGGCTCAGCTCTGGAAAACAATGGGGCCTTTCCCAAACATGGGGCGGCTTCTAGATCTTTCTCACAGAAACCACCCCTATGGCCCCTTGCTACCAAAACCTTGCCATGTAAACCCACTACACAGGGCGAATAGTAGTTTGCATGGGACAGAAATAATGCCACTGACAGTTCAACGGAATAAACAGTTGAGTACCAGTGCCTTGGCACATTCCATGGTGCTGCTTAATAATGCAGATGTCGGATTTTTTTAGTCATACTCTAAATTAGCAGTGATTATGGACAATTCACCTTCACCTGATGTGCGCTCATGGTATGAGACCGACTTTACCTATACTACAAAACACGTCCATTTTGAATTGGATTAGAATGGAGCTGTACATAGTACAGAATCACAGAATGGTTGAGGTTGGAAGGACCTCTGGAGACCATCTGCTTTGACTTCCCTCCTCCAGCAGGCCCCCAGCGCAGGGTGCCCAGGGCCCCGTGCAGGCGCCTTGTGCCACTCTGCCAGGAGGAGCCCCCCCAGCCTCTCTGGGCAGCCTGGGCCAGTGCTCAGCCGCCCGCCCAGCACAGAAGTGCTGCCTGGTGCTCAGAGGGAGCCTCCTGCCTGCCCCTTGGTGCCCACTGCCCCTGGCCTGGCGCTGGGCACCCCTGAACAGAGCCTGGCTGCGGCCTCTTTGCCCCCTCCCTGCGGGGATTCCCAGCCCTGGGGGAGATCCCCCTGAGCCTCCTCTTCTCCAGGCTGAGCAGTCCCAGCTCTCCTGGCCTCTGCTCACAGGAGGGGTGCTGCAGTCCCTATTCTAGGTGTATGTATAAACTAAGTTGTTATAAATAGAATTCTATTAAAAAAATCAAGTTGGAAGGGAACTTTGAGGGTCATCTAGTCCAACAACCTACTCACAGATCTCCTTAGCGATATAAATTTTGTTGTTCTAACAGGAGGAATGATTGGAAATCTACACCTTAGAAATCCGTTCCGTATTTTTTTCTGCAGGTTCATTTTAAGTTTTAATAGAGAATGTACTTTTCTGAATTACTTGTGTGCTTCATAAGTCTGTTTTCTATTTCTGTAGTTCACAGTTGGAGAGAACACCACGAAAAAACAATCCAGATGAGGAGATTAATGTAATACTTCCACAGACACCTGTTCGGTATGAATTTTTCACTTAAACTGTGTTCTTTATACAACTTTATACTTTCACACTATACTTTTGTCTGCCGTATTCCCATCATTAGTCGAAGTCTAGATCTTTGTGGCTTCCTTCCCTGATACAAAACTGCTTATATACACATTTCTTCTCCCATGATACTTTCTTCCTAGTATCGTCCTCTTTCTATAATCAAAGATGAGTATTTTGTAGTACCAACCTTTTTTCTTTATATAACGTCAAAATAAGTGTTTCAGAGTGCCAACATACTCTGGTCTATTTGGGAAAATTGGGAGAGATGGTAGAAATGTGGTATTAATTGCAGATTGTTTGATCTGCAATCCAGTGCAGGAAAAAACTCCAAGCTTTATTTTGGTTAACAAAGGAAAGGAGATCTGTGTGTACTATTCTTCCCTTGTGCCACAGAGTTCCTTAGCAAAAGCAGAATGATTTTACTTAATGGTGTTAGAAATTCCAGGATGTTCAAGAACCAGTCAGTTGTGTCACCACAGTGTCATGTGCTACGTGGACAAACAACTGTTTGCACAGGCAGTTGTTCTGAAGGTGTCAGGTTTAATAAAACTGGACAGTGAAGTTTGTTTTCCATGCTTGCTATATAAATGCCTTTTGTTTCAGCATTTTGTAAAAGTGAAAAATTTAAAATATACTGAATTACTACTTCAGTTTTCTCAAATGAGTAAAAATTATTTTAATTTTTGTTAAAAAACATCTCTATCGTGTCTATATGCTTGTGAAAGAATGAATTGGACTCTGGGCTTGTGCATCCACTACAAAATCTGTTAAATAGTGTGTGTAGAAATTGGTTTTTAGCCAACAAAGCATCAACTAAGCAGTAAGGTTCTGAAAAGCTTAATAAAAATACTGAATGGGGACGTGCAGCTGAGATTAGATACTGATCGGTGCACAGAAGAACTTTTAATTGCCTGTGACTGTGGAAGTCTTTGATTGCCTTAATGGTGCCTTTTAATTTTACACTTCTAGTCTTCAGCTGTCAGTGATGCTTTTTTTAGCCATAAAGGCAACAGCTTGACTGGTGGTTCCCTGACTAAATGTGTGATATCAGGATCTAGACCATCTATAACTTGAAATGTATTTAACGAGAAGGTCATTGACAACAAAGCCTGTTTTCTCCACAAATTGGCAGCTTGTTGCTGCTGCTACTTGGTTATACTGGTATTAAGAAAACAACTCTAACACTGAAAGATACTTGATTAAAACTCTTGACATGGAAGTCTTATTAATAAAGTCCAGGAGTAGCAAGCTACCACACTGCTAAAAATTTGAGATGTGCTAAAATAACTCTGAGAAGTACTAGTGAGAGATTCAGAGTCTCTCCATCCAGCCTTGGGGGCTTCTCTGAGTTTTCCAAATCTGCTGCCATTTGAGACAGTTCAAGTGGTTTTATTCACTAGCAATGATTTTGGCTGTAGCAACTGTTTTTGGTAAAGCACAGATCTGTCACTAGATGGCAGTAAACCTTTGATCACCAGTGCAGAGTATTAAGTGCGCTGTTAACTCCTTGCATTAAGTAGATCCCCTTACAGGTTGTGATGAAAGCACTAGACTTAATACTTCGAGTTTTCTTGTGTTTTCTTTCTGTAGCTAGATGTTTAGGACCTGCTCTTAAGCCCCCTGAAATTGGTGAGAGTATAATCATTTTCATCAGCGGTTTTATATCTGGTCCATTATGTAAAAATCAGATAAAACCAGTAGATAAAATAGGTGTAATTTCAGGTAGTTCAGAGCACCATAATTATAGGTTGTGTGTTTTCATTTCATTTTTTCAATTGTCTTCAAGCCTTTCATTATCGTTAGTAGAATTTCAATTAGAAGTGATTTTCCCAAGCCTTCTGAAAAATAAAGAATGAGTCTTTGGACTATACAGTTATGACCAAATGTTTTTTGTCGACTTATTTTTTGAGTGATACAAACCAAACTGAGGTTAAACAGTGCAGAAAACCAATAAAATAAACTCAGAAAATAGCTATACCACTGGACAATCAAACTTTTTTTTTAGATGTTAAGTGAAAAAGCATTACAATAAGCTTTCTAAAAGAATAGAAACTTAATGGTATTGCTTAATACAGAACTTGAAATAAACCAGTTCATGCAAATATTAATGGATTGTAATGGACACCATGGTTCTGTGCAAACAACGGCAGAACAATACATCATGTCCCCAGAAGTTGGAAATGGGGACTGTTAGGTGCTAGCATGTGCACATATCTTCTTGTCCTGTATGACAAGATCTTTGTTGTTATTTCCCCCAAATACAGGTATTTCAGTCACCTCCTGGATAATATGTGCAATTTGAGAAAAAGCTGTGTCCTATTATTTTAGAATAATGATCCTTCTGAAAGTCATGAAAATTTTTTGTCATCAGGATTTCAGTTTTAGAAGATGAAATGAGAACTGTTATCTTCAGAGAAATACTTACCCTAACAAGATACTTAATCTGTTGAATAAACAGGATCCTGTGCATTTGTCTTAAGAATATTTTTAGTTCTTTAAATTATAGCTCTTCTGAGATACTGGTATTACTTGGGTTGACTTTAGTAAGTTAGCTTCTACACTTAACTTTTTTTAAGAAGACACTGGATATAAATCAATGGATATTGATTTATTGATTGTTTTTAAATTTCTTTTCAGCAAGAAGGTTCTAGGCATTATGTATATATGCAGATGGTTTTGATGCTTTTTGTTTTTTCTCTACTATTTGACTGTAAAAAAAAAAAAAAAAGAGCCAGTAAGATCATACATGGAGGCATAGTTCGATACTTCAATACATCCCACTTCACAAAATGTAATAGATAGATTTTTGATCTTCTCATTTAGGCAATAAAGAATCAGTGTTCTACTTTCTATACTACGTATAATTATCAGGAACACTGAAAAATTAATGTCCACATCCTCTTCTTCATCCATAACAGTTTAAAAATTAAGGATCTTAAATGCAGAAATCTTCCAACCTAGCTGCAGATGCAAACGGTAGAATTAGGATTTCAGCAAATTACAACCTTCCTATTGGAAATGGAAGACACTTAAAAAAAAAAATCTTAAAAATCTGTTAAATGAAGCTTTCATGTGACTTCTTGATTTAGACACAGGGTGGGAGAAGACGCTCTCATGCTGTTAATAACGGGATCATTGGCAGCTCTACTTTTGAAAAGCGTGGCTTTTCTTTTAAGCATTTATGTTAGAAAGGCTGTATCATCTTTGTGAATGGATATCAAATACCCCATTTCAGTACATTTTTCTTACTGTACTTGTGATTGCAAGACTTGAAACAAAAGCTGTTTTTGTTCACCAGTCTCTTTTTTACAAAAGCCAAATGATTTGTTAGGTTTGCGCTTAATTTAACTGAATATTTTCATATATAGGGATTGCAATTCTACCATTTTACTGCTTTTAGAAGTGCTCATTATTTATTATTTATCTTCTGGTTGCTTACTTATGGATTGCAATAATTCTAATAATGCGATGATTAGATAAATCAGGTTATTAGAATTCACAATGATTAACACAGTACAACAGTTTTTTTCCCAGCAGGTTGTTTGATAACGGAGTTGAAAACTAAAATTGTACATTTTTTGTTAGCAGAAGTGCTGTTCAGTTTCTGGAAACCGTTGAGTCATCTTCAATGCTTTTTTTTTTTTTTTTTCCAGAGCTGCAATGAATACAATTCAGCAATTGATAATGATTCTAAATTCAGCAGCTGATAAACCATCTGATACCCTTATCGCATATTTCAATGTAAGTGAAGTGACTTGATGAAACATTTGTGGAAGATTGTTAGAATTATCACACAATTAAAACTTATTCATAGAGATCTGACACACATGTTCTGGTAACTCTTTTATTAACAAATATTTTGGAAGATGTACATTTTGATTGGGATGGTTTAAATGTAATTACTCTTGAACTCCTAATTTAGAAACCATTTCTATTTATCTGATATGTACTAGGAGACAGTAAGTACTTAAATCTTTCTGTTACTACACTAAAAGTTTATGTATCAGAAAAATAAAAGGGTATAAAGAGACATAGGAAGAGAAGAAGGATGTGTTCAGAGGGTCTCTTTTGTCCATATTCAGCAATTTAACCATACTTTATGCTTGAAAGACACTAAAATAGTTGGTAGTCGTCATATTACTAGTATTAGTTGCAGTTAGATGGATGTGAGAAATGGAGTTGTAGTTACTGGGAATTGTTGAACACTGTGTATATTGTATATTCTATCTTTTTAAATAGTCCACTATTTAATATTTTATATTTTTTAATATAAAATATAAAATATTTTTAAATAGTTCACTCTGATTTATGCTGATGACATGATTAAGAGATGCTACAAAGCGATGCAGGACTCATTTGATTATACCGTTAAAATGTTTTTGAAGTAAAATATCCTTTCCTTGTCTTTTCTTCCCCTACCCTCTTTCCTGTCCTCAACTAGAATTGCACAGTTAACCCTAAAGATAGTATCCTGAAAAGAGTGGAAAGTCTTGGCCACATCTTCAAAAAGAAATTTGCTGAAGCAGTTGGACAGGGATGCGCTGAGATTGGCTCACAGGTAACTGACGTTTTGTTTGAGTATTTCTCATCTGAACTCTGTTGGTACTAGCTAATGTGAGACCTGACTTAACGACTGTCCTCCTTCAGTGAAGATTAATAATGTCAGGAAGCAATAATACTCGGTTCAACTTGAGGAAAGGACATGTTTTTTTCTAATGCTCTGTAAAGATAATATTTAACAAGTGATTTTTCCTATTTAAGGAACAATAGGAGCTGGGTGGGCGAGAATGCTAGAAGCACTTTAATGGAAAATAAGAAAATTGCTGGGCAGAATGCATTTAGTGAAAGGTATACTTGCATTCATTAAGGTAACTGAGCCTAAAACTATGCAAAGTGACTTGCCTCCTTATAAAATCAGGAGGCCAGCTGTGCTTTTTACAAGGATTTTTTGGAAAGCAAATACAACTGAGTTTGTACTCTATATTTTCTGTCAGCACTGCTGTTTATCTTATTAGCCATGACTTGATGTAAACATTGGTATTAGTGTGGTTGAGGTGGTCACAAACCCTAGTAGCCTTTGAGGCTTTTCCACTACTATTGGCAATTGGAGCTGAGGAAAATGAGATCTTTATATTATCACTTCCAAAAAAAAAAAAAACTGCAAAACAGAAAGGAAAAAAAAATGTTCTAAATCAATAAAACATGAGTCTGCCTGATGTAGTTTTGTTAAGAACTAATTGTAATATTTTTTTTCTCTTTTCATAGAGATACATACTTGGGGTACGGCTGTATTACAGAGTGATGGAGTCTATGCTGAAGTCGGTAAGTTTAGTACTTGTAACTCGGTATTGCGTGTCCGAATTCCAGAAAGAATCACAAGCTTGATTTATGCATTTCAGGAAGAACAGCGCCTTTCAGTGCACAATTTCAGGTATGTGCCCATAATTCACTACTACTATCCACTATTTTAGTGTTAAGGCAAGTAATAACGACTTCTTTTTTCCCTTAGCAAACTGCTGAACGATAACATCTTCCACACATCTCTTCTGGCATGTGCTCTTGAAGTTGTCATGTCTACGTATGTCAGTAAGTTGAATCGAAAGTGCCAAAGAGCATTTTCACGTATCAATAATTTCGGCTATTTGTTCTAATACATAAAATACAGTAAATAGCAAGAAAACAGTGGTTGCTGGAATTTCCAAATTGGCAATGATTCAATAAACACAAAAAGAGATGCAACAGAAGTGAAAGAACGTAGCACTCTTGGTAATACTAATCTGTCTTCCTTGTAGGAACTGCTTCACAAAGTGATGGTAGCAGTGCTGAAACAGACTTGTCTTTCCCGTGGATTCTCAATGTATTTGATTTAAAAGCTTTTGACTTCTACAAGGTGATTGAAAGTTTTATTAAAGTGGAGCCAAGCCTAACAAGGGACATGATAAAGCATCTAGAACGCTGCGAACATCGCATTATGGAATCTCTTGCTTGGCAATCTGTAAGTAATGCTTTCAAGTAGCATTTATCCTTGTATAATGTGTATTTAGAAAAAAGGATCACACTCAACTCTAAAAAATAAGTTGTTGTCTTGCTGAGAGGTAGTTGATTTTGCTAGTAATACAAGAGCTAAACAAGTTTAGTCTTAGCATGTCTGCAGGCTTTGGGAAAAAAAAGGTTATATCAGAGAAAGTGACAGCTTTTCTGGTAGTTTTTCTCATTTAGGTGATGGTAATCCAACATCTTTTACCAGCCTACCATGGATATGAAGGGTAATAAACACTATCTTGGTGGCAATAGGCAATGTATTCTGTGCTTTTATATGTATGCTATTGTTTTATCCAGTTTTAATTCCTACTTGACGTGGTGGCCTTAGTTCTGTGTCTCTGATGTGATCGTTAATAGTACTTACAATTCTGATTCACGTTGTACTTGGCACTTCAATTCCTTGGGTATTTTTGAAGGCCATAAAAACCAGGCTGGCAGGTTGGGTTATGCTTCTGAGGCTGGATCTCAGTAACCTGACCGCTGTCTCTTTATATTCCGTGTTACTTTTAAACCAAAAATATGCTCTTAATGTGACAAAAGAGGACTGTTATATATAAAGACTGCTAATTTTGACCAGGAAGCACAGTGACCGTGTAAGAATCTGCTTGGTTACCTTGTAGTTCTGGGAAATCTAAAAACACAATATGCCTTAGCCAATATGATACTGCAATTGTGAAGCAAGTCTGTGTATGGTTTTCTGTGTATGACTTAAGCTTGAAAAGCTAACAATTTTCTTGAATTTTCTCATACTGGTGATATTTTATCAGGCTGTGGGGTCGTGCTCCCATGAAGAGCCTGTAGCGTTGTGTCAGAACCACTGGAGCTGCATCTTGTGCTCAAGTTCCTGGCTCAGGAGAAGCACACTGGCCTCAGCATTATAGGGAAATAATTACCATGCTTCAAGCTGAGTCTGGTTGACCTCTTAATGCCAACCAGCCCATTTTGCTTGATTTCATTGCCAACAGAGTCAATGGGCATGAGTCAGGCAGCTTTCTGAATGCGTCCTGTTATGAAGGTGACCTGTTATATTAGCAAACCACAATTTGTGCCTTGAGATTCATGCTCATCACGCCAGCATTGCTGGTGCAGTGCTATAGCTGATGTGCCAGAGTGTAACATTTTTCCTCTGTAATGCTTTGGCATGTTTGTATGACGTCTTGGTATGATGGCTCCACTGCTGTATGAATTTCTTTGTGGTTTTGCTTTTCTTGGAAAAAGACTGCCTGAAAGCACTTGAAGGCTGATAGTCTTGTACCAGAGCTTATAGCAACAGGGAAGATGAAGCACATTACTTGTGCCATTTTTGAAATGTTTAAGGAGTGTTTGTTTCAGAATTTTTATCCTTTGGAGGACAAAGAGCAGAAATTGGCTTCTGCTGCCTAATGCAAACCACTTTGTCAACTTACTGATCAGCAACAAGCCGTTACCTACCAATTTCTACCCAAGAACAACATCCAGATAATCTCCTCTGGATCTCCAGCATCTCAGGATGCTCAGTTCAGTCTCCTGTTGTCCCTCTTTTTTGTTGCTGGCAGGCTCATCACTAGAGGGCACAGCGAGGCTCTCAAAAGCTGAGGGAAGCCAGTGCTGGCAACCAGCTATGGGCTGGTTGCAAGAGGAGTGTGCAGGTGTCTTGTGCCTTTGAATTGGTCTCCCTTGCCTCCTTGTAGGACTTGTAACAGTTACCTCTTTTCCCAGCATTGCTGTCCATCCCCGTCTTCCTCATCCATTGTGATTTGAATAAACAGTTTAATTCTTGCAGGTATTTTGTAGCTTAAAGGGAACAGAGATTTTCAATATGGTTCAAAGAATGCTCTCTACTTTAGCATTTGACAGTGCTATAAAGAGTGCAAAAAAGAGTACCTGAACCCTGTTTGGTGCTACAGCTGCCCCTAAGGGGAAAGGCTGCAAGTTTTAACCAGCCTACACATCCTACACACATATAAGCAACCTTCTGAGCAACCTGGTGTAGTGGAAGGTAATGCAGGGGTTGGAACTAGACTTTAAGGTCCCAACCCAAACCATTCTGTGATTCTGTAACCAGAAGAGTGGTGGCTCAGGGGATCAGAAGTAGTGAAATGTCAGCAGTGTTGACAAAAGGCTCTTCCACCAGAGGGTGGTCGGGCACTGGGACAGGCTCCCCAGGGCAGTGGTCACGGCACCGAGCCTGCTGGAGTTCAAGAAGTGTTTGGACAATGCTCTCAGACACATGGTCTGATTTTGGGTGGTCCTCTGTGGAGCCAAGGGATTGGATTTGATCCTTGTGGGTCCCTTTTACCTTAGGATGTCCTGTGATTCTAGTATGAAAAGTGCAACTCTTTAGCCTAAGTGTAACCTCTTTAGGTTGAAGTTCCTCTAATATGCTGAATGTACTTTTTAAAGAAGTGTTATACTCTAAAGAAAAGTAGTATCATGGAAAAAAAACACAAAACTAATTATATATTTTCATCTAGTTCTTGCCTTTCCCCAGAGGTGAAACAATCCATTACAAGGTTTGTCTGCTCTTTGGAAAGTCAGGTGGATCGTCTTGTCTTTCTCCGAGCTTTCCTCATTTTCCTGATTGCTTTTTGGAAGCAGGACTGCAATGTGAAATTCGAAGGGACGGAGAAATTGAACGGAATAGCTGAATTTATTGTAGTTTTACTTGTCACAGAGCTTTTATGAGGAAAAGCGCCTTGCATAATTTCTCTGAAGAAAAAATCTTAAGAGCCCATCTGACCTTTATCTGACTTTGGAGGCTGTATCGAATGAATGTGAAAGATTGTTTCTTACTGGTGTTCAAAGATAATACATCACTCCTTTGCTAGTCATTGAGTATGTTTATTGCTTTTTGCATTGCTGGCTGATTTAGTCATTTGTACTTAGGAGACAGATGAAACTTTTCTAGGTCATCCTTGCCTTTAACTGTGGTGGTTTTGCCCTGCTGGGCAGCTGAACTCCGCCACAACTGCACTCTCACTCCCCCTCCTCAGAAGAGTGGGCGAAGAAAATATGCTGGAAAGAAAGGAAAAAGCAAAACAAAACTCATGTGTTTAGATAAGGATAATTTAATTAGAGGGAAAAGGAAGAGGGGATAAAACAAAGAAAGGCTGTGCAGCAGCACAGAAAAGAAATATTCTCTACTTTCCATCAATAAGCGATGTTGCAGATTATGTGAAGGTGAATTTGGAATACATAACATTAACACTGCATATTTTTATTCATAAAGTAAAAGAATACCATACTATCTGTACATACCACACTACCTATACATCTATATTCAACTGCAGAGCATTTGTGCTTCATCTCAAAGTACTTAAGGCACCATTTTAATTTGATAACTTCAATTAAAGGGACTAAAATTACTTTAAAAATAAAGGTATCTGAAGTCATTGATTAATTTTTATCATATCTATATAAATATAACTTAAACCTTGGAACAGATGATAAAGTCCATTTCCTATGAAAAAGGGATAGCCCGCTGTCTGCCAGCCCAGGAGTTCAATATTCAGCCTTTTTTGTCAAATTGATCTCTAATAGGCAGTCAAAAAAGGAATTCTTTTGAGTATCTTAGATGAAGGTTACGTGAACACATTTGCAAATCTTTGAGTTTACCTTGTCAGCTGCTGTGCCATGTGTTTGGCTGAAGTGTTGCTGCTCGCTGCTGTGCATTGGGAAGAACCAGGGAAGAGCAGACTTTCGGTGCCAGTAAATCAAAGTCTGTCAGTTTTCACAACCTATTTCAGGAGCAAAACCTCTGTACTACCTGAATTTACAATTTTTTTTTCCTGAGTCATTGAAGAAAATATCAAGAAAATACCTGTGGAGTGTCCGTCCTGTTATCCATACCTGCAAATTGATCCAGTTGTTTCCCTGCCTCACAGCCATGAAGAAGGAGGACCAGGCAAGGCATTAGGTTCCTTTTAGTCCCCTGCTTGGGGACTGTAATTCCTATAAATGCCTTTTCACATGTACAGTAGGTAATGAGTACAGACCGTTCCCATTTTACATCACATTTGGCATCCTTGAAGTCATACTTAAGTGCGTCCTCATGAGTAAGAGGAGTCCAAAGGGTAATCCACACAGGACTGGGGTTTTAAAAGGCTACCTGGTAGCTTCTGCAGTTCACAGGAGTGGGAGCAGCTGCAACCCCACAGCACCCAGAAGGGAATGGGGAAGTACAGTGGCTCTACCCCTGTGCGCTGGGCTGAATGGAGTTGGTTCAGTCTGAAGTCTGCAAATTTGCGGTGATCTGGTCTGCTAGGTTTTTGTGTGGGTGTGTTTGTGTGGGACAGATGACTGCACTGCAGGTGTTGACACCGCAGCCCTCACTGGCTGCGTTGCTCTTTAGCACTTCCTGTCCTAATTGGTGTTTATATTTCTTAAAGGAAGGAGGAGAGCCAATATTGACAGGCATTACGATGTTGTAATGACTGATGCAAGATAAAGGTCTCCTCAAGGTTATTTCTCTTAGTGGCTAAAGTGCTGTCTGAAGGAGGCAAGTGTATTTTGCTTTGTCCTAACCCACAGTTCGATCTGTGACTTCATCCATGTAGTGTTGTCTAAACTGTGCTCTGCAACGCTTCTCCTTCATCAACTCCTCCTCTGTACTTTACGTTGTCAACTAAACATTTGTGATGAGATCTGCAGTGCTCTTTTGTCACGTATCACTGAATATAACTCAGTGTTTGCAGTGTATCTTCGTCAACTAAACGTGTAGCTCATGTTTGTGCTCATCCCACAGCAGAGACTACTGTTGGTTTTAATTTATGCAGCTCATTGTGGCAGAAATACCTTCCAGAAGAAAACAATGCGTTCCCAAAGAATATATTTACTGCACAAATACGACAGACTCCCTGAGCCGGAATAACAGCAGATCTTCTTTGATCATGCAGTAAGGAGGAAAACATTAAATAAGCATGCCTGAGATTTGTTTAAACACTAAGAGAAGCTGCGCAGAGTTGCAGGTCAGGT